CTGTATTAATCCTATTCTGTCATCACTATAATATCTTTCAAGTATTTTGACCTTCTGGTATTGACATATGTTTGTGATTCTAATCATACAAGTGTATGCTTTGTTTAGTCACTTCAAATCTATTTCTTTTTCTTTTTTATTTTTTTGTAGGATTTCCCATTTAACTGAATAAAGTGAAATAAGTATGTCGATGCATTTGTTTAACACATCATCTAGGCTTAAAGAAGATAAACTGAATCTAGTTCTTTGGGGTTTTTAACTAAGTGGGGATTGAATAACTTGCATTATGGATGTCTGTACTTGATTGACAAAAATGTACTGGTGCTAGGATTAACTACCTTGATTGTTTTGATACCATGTATGAATTTTCATGTGCCCCAAACCAATCCCATATCTATTATTTACTCAAATTCAAGCTAAGGCCAATGTTAAACATTAACTTTACTGACATGAATAGAGCCCAGAGCCCATCAATTTAAGGTTTTCAGTAGTGGTTATTTGATATGACATGACACTGGATTTCAAGAGGTTTTGGTTTTGAATTACACCATATGCAAGTTAAAAATAGTTAGTGACCTCCATTTGTAATACCTTTCCTCGTATATCATGCTTATACTGGTAAAGCTTTCCACCTGGTCCAAAGGCCTATGTGGCTGGAGTATCAAGTGTTGGTTTGCTTGATGAGATTGTTAACCTGCAACCCCCATCAGCTTAAGCTGTTGGGAGAAGGGTTCTTCTAAAACATTCAAATTAGCATTATTTATATGGTAGGTGGCCAAGCCAGATACACGTACTTTTAATCCCAGAGTATTGAAACTTAATCTAAATCTGTTTCCTGAAACCTGACTTCATTACTAAATCTAATTGTTAGTTCTCAACCATTAATATTTCCAGGACAATATTTGATGTTGACGTAGAAGGTTTTGAGGATAAACCATGGAGACAGTCCACAGTTGATATTTCAGATTATTTCAATTTTGGATTGGATGAGAGCAAATGGAAAGAATATTGCAAACAAGTGGCAAGTTTCAATCTTATTGTCAATATGTATTAGAGAGGAAAGCACAATATTTTTTTTTTAATTTTGGTTTCAGCATATAAAATGTGCAGGATCAAGTTCGTCTTGAGTCTACCATGCAAGGCAAAATTCGTGTATATGAGAGTGGGCGATCACAGCAGGTACAGATTCCGTGAATAGTTGGCTGATACTAGAAATCAAACTATCAACACTAGTAAAGTTTTCTTTCCTCTCAGGAGTATGATCCGGATTTACCCCCTGAGCTTGCTGCTGCAGCAGGTCATCATGATATTTCCACTGATAACGTGAATCATGCAAAGATAGATAATTGCCAAACTGATTTAAGTGGTCAGGAAAGACCATTTGTACGAGCTCTTTTTGTAAGTCCTTTTTTTTTCTACATCACGTACAAAGTCTTTTTTAAATTTTTATTAGCTCATGATTTTGTGTCTGTGACCCTCTCTTTCGCACTCCCACTTACTCTAGCTCTAGTGTAACATCCCAAAAAATTCTTCTTCTTCTTGTGTGTGTATGTGTTGTGTATGTTTGTGTGCTTGTGTGCGCACACATCTTACCTCTAGCTCTAGTACAACTTTCAAAATATCTCCTTCAGAAGACTTTTACTCTTGGACATCTGTTTATAATTCCAAACATTTTTTAATTTGGTTTTCACATTGTATCAGCCACCAGGTAGAGCAATTCAGGTTGAAACTGGTTCTGGTGAACGCCTTCCCTCTATAGATACCAGGCCACCACGTTATCGTGATGCAGATGCAATTATAGAGGTAAAACTTAACACATACTTTCTCAAGTAATATTATTTTAGGTGCATCTGACAGATTTGTGGCTTCTCATGCATTTCACTACTGGTTATTGCATACTAAAAATATATTGGAAAATAGATTGTTTGTCGGGATTTCATGGAGGATTCAACAATTCATACTACGGCAACTGAACAACCTGACAAGCATACACATGACGAAGAGCTTAAAGTTGTCCATGCTGCTGAAGGTGATAGACACAGTGAATCTGAATACCATGATGCTTTTCTGCAAACTTCCAGTGGTCATAAGAGGGAAATGGGATCGAGAAGGATTCCCCATGCAACTGAAAGAAGGTATAGTGTGAATAATGATAAGTTTTTTATGCTAGGTAGTTTTCTCTCCTTTGTACCTTGAATGTAACTATTCCCAGAAAGGAAATATGATTGAAAATGGTGTGTGAATTGACAGATATGATTGGCTAAATGTGTTTAAATTCTGAACCAACAGTTACTCAATAATACCCATATCAATTTGTTCTTTTTTCCTTTTTGATGCTGATAATAACTATTTACCATAATATGTACATTCTCATTTATTATTCGTATTGTCGATTAGTCTGCACTTGTTTCATCATTCATTGCACTTCCCTAGTATATGTTGTAATCTTATAGATAGTCACTAGTGTGAACACCGTGCAAAGCACGGCCTATTTTTTCCCGCTACAGAAATCCCAGTTTTATCTGCCACAGTAAATTTTCCCCCGCTGCAGTAATCTTATAGATAGTCATGCAAGGTGTACATTTATAATTTTCATTTTTATTTTGTTTGGCTGTCAAAACATCTTTTTACATGGGTTGAGATAACCTGTTTAATTTTGTCTGGTATGACATACAAAGAGGAGGTTACTTTCATATATAAAATCCTTTGAAGAAATAAATGTCTACGATTTGCAGGCAGAAGCCAAAAGTATCTCCCAAAGAAAGCTTTCCAGTCTTCTTTCCTATATTTCCACTTTTCGCAGCCCATTTTCTGACACGTTCAGGTCTTCCCACTGAAACTTAAAATGTCCTTTCCCTTTCTCAACTCATCTATCCTTCCAATTCTGTGTGACTTACTGTGCATTTGCATGAAGTAGGACTATATCCCAACTTCGTTTTCTCTAGCTAGACATTCTAATCCTTAGCTATATTCCTGAAAACTGAAAAGTATGATTACCACTTTGAATAACATGCATTAATTTCTGGGTAATTCGAGGCTATCCATATCATAAACAACAACTATTAAACATCACGAAATTTTGGGGCAACAAATATTGCATATCGATTGTAAAAACAATGGGTTAAGCAAGCCTAGATAGTGGAGTGGTTTTGTAGGTACTTATTCACCCAACCATTCAACACAAGGACCGGTAGAGGACTTCTGTTGAGAGGTGTGTACTTGTTATAAATGAGTTGTGGCCAGTTAGTCGTTAGTCTCTTGAATGTAGCTGCTATTGACAATTTGAGCAAAAGAACTTCGTATCATCCAATTGAACATTAGCAACTGTATTTGCAGTCAGTCAATTCCTTGAATGTATTTTGTCATTCCCCTTCCATAGTACATATAGTCACAGATTAACCCCAATAATCATATGCTGATTAATGTGCACTTGACCTTACTCTTCTGCAAGGATACAAAGAGTTAACTGTCTGGTGCAGACCCAGAAAGAACTTGCTAACAATTTTCCCTGGGTCTTGCTGGAAAATTTTATGCATACAAGAGCTCGAGTCTAAAATTCATTCCTGTACCCTTTTTATTATATATTTATTATTATATCATTATCATTATTATTATTATTATTTGGGGTTAAGGTCGCAAAATCATATTTTGAATTTTATGTTTTTCCTTTTTATTCGTCTTCTGTGATAGTTGTTGTGGTTCTTGAACAATTGATCTGTTTACATATGATAGGCTCTTGACAGTTATTAACTAACTAGTGTTATGTGCAGCTTTAGGTTGCCTGACGGGGCCACAGATGGAAGACATTCCAGTGCAATTGTCAAGTACTCTAGAGATAGCATCCCTATTCAAAGTTCTCAAGATAAGAAGCATGCTGATCACCCAAAAGAAAGGCCAGGCAGTAGCATGGAAACTCCTGAACTATCACTGGGAACAGCTCGGGAGCTGAGTGTAGAACAGAAGGATGGTGAACTTGATGGCATGCTTGCTTTGGGTAATAGTGTTGAAGCAAAAGGAGAACTAGAAGGAGAGGAGACTTCAGATATCCGAATTTCAGGCGAAACTCTTGTTGATGAGAGCATCACTTACTCTTCCAAGAAGCAAAAATTAAGCTCACGAGTCGAACAAAGTGCAATTCAAGACAGTGTGGATGATGATGATTTAAGGATCACACACAGTGACAACAGTAAAGCTAAATCCGGAAATAGCAATCAGAAGAGGCGTGAAAGTGGTGATGAAGAAGTACAAGGTGGATGGTCAAGGAGAACTAGCAACATGAGAAGGCGCCATGAAAAAGAGGAATATCCTTTTCGTCAGCAAGATAATTATGGGAGAGAAGATAGGCATGAGATGGACAGGATGCGTGTGGGTTCTAGAGGGCGGGAAGCTATGTATCATTCTTATCCACACAGAGATTTTGATCCTTTCTCGGTACATCCTGTTCGAGGTAGGAGTGAAGGTTTTGAGAGGCCAAGAGAGATGGAGAGTGCTTTTTGGCAGAGGAGGGAAGATGAGACTCACGGCAGAAGGATAAAAGATGAAGACATTAGGCGAAGTAAAGTTAGGATAAGTGACAGGGTTGACAAAGATGATGGCGACTGGAGGGGGCATAACAGAGAAGGAGGTACAAGGCTGAGGAAAAGAGATGATTTGAGTCGTAGGGACAACTCAGATGACCATCAAGGCAAAAGAATGAAGGATAAAGAACACTCAAGGAGAGAGAGAACTGAAAAGGAAGATTCCTTGCATGGTCATCATAGGGCCCGGCAAGGTTCCAGCCAGCAAAACAAGGAAAGGGATGATAATCCTGAACTTAAAAGGAGGGAGGGAAGTAGTGGAATGAGAGACAAGGCCGAGGATCACCATTTTTCAAAGCACAAAGATGAAAGACAGCGACTTAAACACTCTCATGAAGATTTTTTGCTGCATACAGAAAGAGAGGAAGGTCGGGTAGCTTCTAGGAGTGGACGAGCTACAGAAGATAAGTCATTAAGTGGTGGTGCAAGGAATAATAAGAGTGATTCTAAACTTTTGGCATCTGACAAGGATTATCAGCAGAAGGATAAAAGACGACATGGTGAGCAGTCAAAGAGAGGTCGAGCTGAAGAAGAAAACGACTCACAATATAAAGAACATGAAGACGGACATGCACGTGACAAGTTCTCGAGGCATGAAAAGTTAAGTGCTTCTGATGATCTGAAGATATCTAAGGAGAAGCATAGGGAGGTAACTAGGAAGAATAGGGATACTGAAGCCGCAGCTCTCGGCAAAAGGAAGTCTGACAACCACAGTGCTCATCGCAATGAGAAGGTACAATAAGTGGTTAGACCTTATTCATTAAGAAAGAAACAGTGTTAACTCATTTTACACCAGCATGATAACATGAATTACAGTACTTTATAAGGAAATTAGGAATATATAAATTGCGTGCTGAAACAAAGGGTTATAAACAGATCCCAATTACTCTTACATATTGCACAATTCTGTTTTCACTTTAATGAGTGCAGTGAAGATTTAATTCTTGAATTTTTGGTGGAACTAAAGAAGATAAAAAAATAGATGGTACTGAAATCATGCTATTAATATCTGTTTTTTCACTGGATATTTTACCTATTCTTTAAGGGTTTTTTTGTTCACTCGGATGGTTTGTCATTAAGGTGTTGGGATATCTTGCGGCCTTTTTGGAACTGTGAATCCACAAACTGATTCTTGATTTTTGCTAATAAATGATTTGTTCAATTTGTTTCATGACTAGGTTTTAGATTGTTGCCACAATAATGACATTTCATTGTAGGTTATAATTTTCTCGTGAAAGTAATTGCATGCTATATGATTCATTAAATGACAAGGAACTTGTAAAATGTGTACCTTGTACATATCTTCTTTTCTGGCAAGTTCCTCTGCAGTCTGCACCCATTGACTCAACGTATTTGTTAGAATCTCTCGATGTGTGTCTTGAAGTAGTAATGCTATCTCATATTGATTGCAGAAGGCGATTAATCATGTCCATGTGTTCTCTTTCCTCACGCTAATTGCTTACTCCTAGAGTTATTTATTTAGGGAACAACAAGGCTCTACTCAAGGTTGACATTTTTTGCTCTTGGCATTTTTAATGGCAATTTTATTAAGGGTTAATTGCAGATAGACCCTTTGTGGGATTGAACATACCACCCTTCTAGTTTGATTTTGCAGATAGACCCCCCGAGTGAATCTTTTTTACTTTTTTACCCTCACGGGATCTACTTATCAAAAAATAATTCTCTTTCTCTAAGGGTAACAGAGTTGAAATTTTTTCACTCAGGGGGTCCATTTGTAAAAATAAAACTAGAAGATAGTAACTTCAAAACAATGATACTAGAGCGGTCTATCTACGATTGACCCTTCAATTAAATGTTAGATATTGCATTCTTACCATTTTGCTCATAAGTAGTTCATTTCAGGACTACCAAGTTTTAAAAATGTTTTTATAGAATCCTTGTTTGTTGTTACCTTGGTACTTCTATCTGAAGCCGTATTCATGCCCATCACATACCCATACCCACACTGACACATCCTTGGATACATGCATACAGTTATCCATACATGCACTCAATTATACAGTACATGTTTTAGTTTAAAACACTCGTCATACACTTCATTCATGTATACTCCACACTTACCATCCGCTTCATAAAACTAGATGTATATGAGTCAGGTTCATTTCAGCCATACGAGTTTAGAACTATGATTTAAATGGTTGTTTGTGTATCTAGTTCATAGGCATGCGGCTTTCCAATTTATAATCTACCTAATAAAAGAACATTAAGATGTTGTAGGAATTTAATTCTCAGTATATGTAAATGAAAAATAATATTGATCTCATGTAAATTATTAATTCCTATGTGTGTGTGTGTATACTACGTCCCTTACCCTACCTTTTACATCAGTTGTGTCCCATGCCGGTGGCAGTACTGTACCCAAGTTCATGCAAACATAGCTTTTCTCAGGGTAGCTCGAAAGGAAAAAATGACCAAGAAAGCAACAATTCTAGGGTTAATCAGATGCCACGTTCTTCTGAGAAACACGGGGGAGGAGATCTTGCTTCAGACGACGAGAGCCAACGCGACTCAAAAAGGGGTCGTTCCAAATTGGAACGTTGGACCAGTCACAAAGAGAGAGACTACAGCTCCAGAGACAATTTGCATTCATCTTCCTCCAGAGCCAAAGATGTCGAAAGCGTCAGTAACGACCTAGCACCGATCGATGAGTTGCAAATAACCGAAGGTAATAATGATGGAGATCAAACTGCAGACAAGTCAGGGGATGATCGGGATCGACACCTGGACACTGTGGAGAAGCTCAAGAGAAGGAGCGAGCGCTTCAAGCTTCCTATGCCTGGAGAGAAGGATGTGGCTTCGAGCAAGAGATCAGAGAATAATGCATCGCTGATAACGCAGAATGAAGTTCCTGCGTATACTGAGGCTAAGCCTGAGCGGCCTGCTAGGAAGCGGAGGTGGACAAGTAGCTAATTGAAGACCATTGAAGATTCTTATATCTCATTATCGATGGCCATCCGCTAATTCTTGAATAGCCTTCTTCAACGAAGCAGTGGATGAAATGGGAATGTTTTGAACTTATTTATGTATACTGGATTTGTAAAGCTTGGCTCTGATATTAAAATGGCGGGCGATACAGTGCATTTCTGTTGGGGAGAGTTGTGTCGTGTATGCATTGATGGAGAGACTTGTAATAGTGTGGAGATTTATACGCGAAGGTATCCCTGTTTAAAACCAGTTATCGGACCAAAAGGCGCGGGGTGGACTCCACCAACCTGAAGCTCAGCCTCTCAATAGCGAGCTTTCACTGCAGTATAAAGCTGCAATAGGGGGTTTGCCCTTCAGTTCTTTTCCTGTTGTTTGAAATGTAAAATTGAGGTGCAGATGGAAAACGTGAGAGTTTATGTATAATTACTCTATCTTGCTTTTTAATTCATATCCGAGGTGAGTTGAAAAAAAAAAGATGGATCATCCTAGGATGAAGGCTGATGCAGTGCAGCACAGGCGATTGTCATTCGCTGGCCAAGCTATTTTTCGTTGCCGATGACCCTTATATGTCAATTGTGATGCTAACCTTTGTATTGTGTCCGACATAATGGAGTGACAATGGAGCTGACTATAGTAGTTTAGTTGTGTTGTTTATACGGTCAGGGTAGGGATGTTAAATGGGTGGGTGCGGGCCATAAATGGGCGGGCATGTTTGCCCATTTACCCATTTATGGCCCATTTAACATTTTCTAAATGGGCGGGTTTTTACTCGCCCATTTAATAAACGGGCCGCCCATTTGCTCATTTCACTATAGTAGCTATATATGTATAATACTTTTAGGATGTTTTTTATAAACTTTTAGGGTTTTTTTGTAAACTATTGGGGTTTTTTGCAAAATTTAAGGGGTTTTTTGTAAACTTTTTGAATTATCAAAATATGCACAGGCATGTACATAACCCATTCAGGAATAGCATGAACATAATGAACAAGATAGCATTAAAATTACCAATCATGTATTTTTTTTCTTTTTACTATACCAAGCACAAAGAACTCAATGAATACATCACTTGCAAAATGATATACATTGTTTATTGCAATAACCAATGCCACAAAAAGCCACTTATGCCACATCAAAAAGAAATTCAAATAGAGCACAACTTTTTCGAACGTGCAAACCTGTCTTATGAATAAGCATCACAACTCGCCTTAAAATGCCACAATAACCCCAATCAAAGGAAAAATACAGACAGAATTTTAATGGGATATGGATCATAACAAACATATTAACCAAACATCAAACCCCTCACGAGAGTCCACATAATTGTTGAACTGACAATTATCCATTTCAAGCATTGCAATGTGAGGGACCACACCAAACCCGAAAAGAAAAAGGAAAGACAAAAAACCTAAAATCCATGTTCATTGTTATACCCTATTTCATTGTTACACCCTATCAGCAGTATCATTCAGCAGCTGCTTGTTCTCGAGAGTCCACATAATTGTTGAACTGACAATTATTCATTTCAAGCATTGCAATGCGAGGGACCACACCAAACCCGAAAAGAAAAAGGAAAGACAAAAAACCTAAAATCCATGTTCATTGTTATACCCTATTTCATTGTTACACCCTATCAGCAGTATCATTCAGCAGCTGCTTGTTCTCCTCCTTGGTTTTGTCTCTGTTGTTCAAGGGAAACAGTGATCCACTGCTGACAGTTCTATCAGGTAGTTCTGCAAAAAAAGAAAAAGAACAACTATATTATTTTTATTTTTATTTTTAAAGCCACATGTGTTAGTTTTTTAAACCATGCACGCAAGCTCACACGCACGCACGCACACACAGAGATATATAGATGTTAAACTGCACACAATAACATAGTTTTCCTAATAAGGCATCACAGAAGTCTTTGCTTCCTATGCCAACTGTAGGAAGAGGATAAGCAACTGTGCATCATTATGAAAGAGAGCATAGCCTAAATCATTTCCATCTCCAGTTCATCAAGGGGATGCACCTAGGTTTTTAGTTCATCTAAACCTTTCAAGAAACTAGAATCATTGGAGCTCATCATTCAGTTTATATGAGGAGAATCAATTTCTGACCCAAAAAATGAAAGAGAAAGTGATTGCTGATTCAATCTTCGAATGGACAAAGAAAAGCATATCTATATTCGGGCTGACAATATGCAGGTAACCAAAACCATATGCTTCGAAGACTCATACGAGAAACAACATGATAAAAAATCTTAAAGAAGAAAAGCAAACAAACCTGTTAATTTCTGGTTAATAAAAAATACCCCCAGATTTATAGTGTACCTAGAGTGAAAACATGCTAAATGATTCAAGAGAGACGATATATGATGAAGTCAGAAACCAAAATTAATCAATAAATTTTCCACCGTACCATGCAACGACAACGTCCACTGAGTAATGCTTGTGAAATGTTCTGTAAGGTTAAAATAGGAGCATATGTTGCCCAAATTAAGAAACTCTACTGAATAGTTAAAATAGGAGTATATGTTGCCCAAACAACGGGATATAACAAAAAGATAAAGTCATCATACGAGTTTCAACAAAACTTGTCTAAAACACAACTTGTCTAAAACACAACCAAGCCGATACAATCAGCTGCAAGCTTAAGCATGATTTGCGAGGGGAAAACATAACATCTCCACTCAAACATAGCATCCCTACTCAACGGTTGGCCTTGGCAACTCGTTCAATCTCATCCTTCTTTTTTATTGCATAACTGTCACAAGAACAATCTCATTAGCTTCACATAATTTTAATACACACTTCTACATGCAAAATATAGTTTAGCACTTAAATACGAGCAATCAGTACAGTGAATACCTGTTAGAAGAACCCTTGGCAGCATTGATGAGCTCATCAGCAAGGCATTCTGCAATGGTCTTGATATTTGTAAAAGCACTTTCACGAGCGCCAGTTGTGAGAAGATAAATCGCCTGGTTAACTCTCCTCAATGGAGATATATCAACAGCCTGACGGCGCACAACACCAGCAGAACCAATTCGTGTAGCATCTTCTCTCGGCCCACTGAAAGAGCCAATAAAGTCATGCGAGGCTTTTGCATAAAATTTGGTAGAATGTTAAGCGTGCTTCTTGTCACTTACAGATATTGCACATTATAAGCAATTAGAAATGGATGTAAAAGAACAATGAAGAATACTAACTAATTTTTCAAGTAACACAGAACATAGTCTCCTGGTGGCTAACCAAACCAAGCAGATAGGAAAAATACACTTCTGCTGGATTGGTGCTCCCAAATGAAATACGAGCATTTTGTAGCGTACGCTTACAGAAAAAACAACCAACTACTAATCAAAATGAAAGAGAAAAGAAAGTTCAACTCAAAAAGTCATGGAATAAACAGTTTCCTTATGTGTCAATTTAAAACTCTGATTATAACACAGTTCTAAACTGTCGTAATAATTTCTGATGGCACGTATATGCCTGTTCGGCTCAAGAAATCAGAAGCAATAGAAGCTAGAGGATATGAAGCTAAAAATATTACTACAAACTATTAAATAAGTTGGCCTTACTAACCTACAGACAATCATTAACATTAGGCTTAACATATAAGACAGCCAAAAAGTCTGGGATAAAAGTTTTATTGTAGTTATTAGCAATATATTGCATTCACTAACAGTAACTAAAATTGATAACTTCAATAAAATGTGCTGCTTTTTTGAACAAAAACTTTATCTTTCCTGTAAAACAACTACAATATTATTCATAGCATATAAACTAACTACATCTTTGCATGACAGGATTTTAATTGGTCCCGGGTATGACCTGGACTTGCCATCAACGGGAGCGGTCCGCAAAAAGAATCTCTGACCCTTCACCTTCTTTTTCTTTGAAGAGAACGGGGATATGGCAAGTCTATGTTGTCAAATATGTACGTAGCATCGATACAATTTCACTTTCGTAGGCATGGACTGTCCGCGACAGATTTATCTAATCCGCGAAAGCGCACTCATCAGTTTCTAGAAACGACGAGGGTCGTACGCTCGAACAACCGCATGCGCGCTCGATCACATCACTCGCAACCAAAAAGTCCCCGTTTCCTTTTGACGGGAGCGACGACGAGCAGGTACGTACCTTTCATCTGACTTCTCAACGCCCGCCCGGCTTCAAATTTCGCCCCCCTCCTCTCCTCTACACGCTCCTCGTTTTTAATTCCTCGCCCTCAAACTAAGACCAAATCAGTTTCTGATGGCAAGGCCGCCTCATATCCTTGTAGTCCCGTATCCGGCCCAGGGCCACATGCTCCCCCTCCTCTCCCACCGCCACGGCCTCGCCATCACCGTCGCCGTCACGACCAAGAACCTCCCTCTCCTCTCCCCGCTCCTCTCCTCCTCCCCCTCCATCGAACCCCTCGTCCTCCCCTTCCCGAACTACCCCTCCCTCCCTCCCGGCGTCGAGAACACCAAGGACGTCCCTCACTCCGTGCCCGCCTTCTTCCGCATCATGCACGCCCTCTCCCACCTCCACGGCCCCATCTTAGCCTGGCCCCGCTCCGCGCCTAACCCCCCGGCCGCGATCGTCTCCGACTTTTTCGCCGGATGGACCGTCAAGCTGGCGGAGGATCTCGGCGTACCGAGGATTGCGTTCTGTCCCTCGGGCGCGCTGGCTCTGTCGATAACCAACTGCCTCTGGCGAGATATGCCGGAGCCCGGGGACGTCAGTTTCGAGGCGCTCCCGGGTTCCCCCGTTTATAGGTGGGATCAGCTGTCGACGCTTTATAGGGGCTACGTGAAGGGCGACCCGCTGTCCAAGTCCGTGAAGGAGGGTTTTGTCCCGTTGATGGCAAGTCCAGGTCAGAGATTCTTTTTGCGGGCAAATGGGTAAATATACACCGCCCATTTAGTGCCCATTTAGTATCATTTGAAATGAACCCACCCGTTTAGACCCATTTAACTAAATGGGTGGGTTTTGGACGGGCCAAGTGATGGGCGGGCCAGGTGGGTAAATGGGTATGGGCAAAAATTGACTTCCCTAGATCAGGGGCAAATCGCTTGATATATTCAAACCTTAAGTGGATCCTTTTGTCGTCTCAATTGGAGATGCTACGGACAATATTGAATTCATGGGTTCAAGTGCTTGTGAGCGTAAATTGAATTTGAAGGGGTTGTTGCGATTTTACATAAACTAGTATAGTGCACATGCTTTGCACGAGAACGTGTTTATTTTATTTTATGTTTTTTATTTTTTTTTGTTGATGGCAATATAATAAAATGACTTGCATAGTAATATAAATTATGAATAATTATAATTTTATTTAAGTGAATAAATTATACGATAAAATTATGCATAAAGAACTATATAATTAATTATTATAGTTTGGATAATTATTACTTATTTCATAATTTTTTAAAATAATTATTATATATTAAATAATTTCTTCTCTTTTAAATATAATAATATTATGCATAGCATACTTATAATACTACTATTAGTAACTACATTTTAATTTAATAATTAGTTTATTATATTATTAGTAAATAATGTACTAAATTGTTTAATTATTAAATTATAGTATAATTTATTAATTTAAAAAACACTATTATGATTATTATACTATTAATACTATTTCAGTTACAATAAATATAAATTATTTTCATACTATTATCATAACTTTAAAAGACTAGTAAGATGAAAGGTAACATCCTTTATAAGAGGTGAAATCCTAAGGCACAAAGTATAAGACTAATGAATTTTTCTTATTTTTAATTTTTCTAGAATTTTAAATATTATGTGAAGATAAATTAGGGACAAATTTTAAATTTTCTATGAAATAACATACTTACATAATAAATTAATAGTGTGAGCAAAGGTTTAAAAAAAGTGAGGAAATGTATAATTAATAAGAGGTGATATATAATTAGCGAATGATTAATTACAACCAATAACATATTTGAGAATTATCAAACCTAAAAGGGTAAAAATGAAAATTATAAGTTTTGAAAAGGTAATCATCTTTTATATGTAGTAAAGATATAGATTGTTTTGTATTGCACTAGTTTTGTACTGATTGTTTTATGCTTAGCTTACTATTTCATCAATGGCAAAACCTTATAGTCAGTTTGGCAAACTCCTCAAAAGTCAGGTGGGGTGTTGATCTTTCACAGTTTTGAGATAAGCTGGTCCCTTTTGATCCAAGGTATAAGCAATTTGAAACTAATAATTTTGAGATCTCTTCCGGTTTAGGAAAAATTAGGTTAACATTGGCATAGTTTTTTCAAATAGTATTCTTTTGAAAATTGCGTCCGGATCAATCTTAATATAGTTTTGAGAAGTTGCCAACCAGGTCCTTATTCTCTGATACCTTACCGTTTTACTGGATTTTAGTTGCGGAATGTTTTTTCTTTTTATCATTAACTAACGCACAATTTCAAAATAAAACAAAATAAAAATATAACCATGCTATTTTTTTGGATATTGTTTGTATATTTAAGTGAGTGTTAAATTTAGGGGAAAATGTGTCCATGCCCCAAAAGAAGAAACTTCATGTGACGAGACCCCTCATAGTTTCCCTCATGTGGATCAGTCCCTTAAAGTATGATATTTTGTACTGCAGCCTCTTTTTAGCAATTATTACATGCCAGCTAAGCTAAAATCCCCAAATTATCCTTATCCTCTCTCCTCAATCCCTCAAACCAGCTCTCTCTCTCTCTCTCCTCTCTCTCTCCCCTCTCTCTCCCCTCTCTCTCAAGCTCTCAAGCCCCATTCTTGCCCGCGACTACGCCCTTCACGACGACGTCGGGCTCTCATCTCCCCTCTCTCTCTCTCTCATCTCCTCTCTCCTATCTCTCTCAAGCTCTCAAGCCCCATTCCTGCCCGCGACTACGCCCTTTACGACGACGTCGGGCTCCATATCCGCGCCCTAGCTCGCGAGTTGGGCCCTCGAGTTCCCAACCACTTCCCCTCCTCTCCTCCGCCCTGCCTCGTCGCCGTTGCTCGCCGCCGCTCCCCGCCTCGCCCTTGACTACGCCGGAGTTCGCCACTATCGCTAACTGCCTTGCCCTCGAGTTCGCCATTAACGTTGTCGGGATGCCATCAACCCGGATGCTTGCCAAGAAGAAGCTACAGGTCTTCAACAACTTAGACTAACATATATCGCATCACATGTCGATCGTGCCCAGCATCAACTTTCACGACAACAAATGTTTTTTTGGCTTTTTCAATATTCAGGAGAACAAAGTGATGTTGATTCTGATGGTAATTAATCAAAAAATTATTTAAGCTTGCATCTAAACCTTTGAATTACTCTCTTTTGGACTTGGGCTCTTGGGCAATGAATTGGTCGGAGTAGATTCTCCATTCGATTGTGTTTATTTGGCAATGAATTGGTCGGGGTAGATTCTCCATGCTAGTTCTAGCCCGCATTATGTTAGTTCTATCTAGTTCTAGCTCTAATTCATCTTAGTTCTAGGCTCTTAGGCCCTCAAGTTAGTTCTAACCCGCACCTTCTTAGTTCTAGCCCGTACCATGCTAGTTCTAGCCCGCACTATGTTAGTTCTAGCAAGTTGGGACAAGTTAGAACTAATAATATTTGAAGCGATATAACGAGAGGTAGAAAATGAGCCCAAGTAAAAGGAAGATACCGTGTGATAGACAATATAAAGGGCTACACACCGGCGAAGATGGTGGTGAAAACTGAGACCGGAGGTGGCCGGAAAACGCGCGCGAAGTCGGCACGGTGCTGCTGTTTTCTGCTCACTGCTGCCGTCGAGCGATGTTTCGGACGTTACCGAGAGAGATAGAGAATGAGTTAGAGCGTGATACAAATTGGAGGTGATAGGCAACATGTAGGGCTACTCACCAAAGAAATAATCGGCAGAAATAGAGATTAGAGGTGATCGGAAAGGGCGTGCGAAGTCGGCACAAAACTACAGTTTTTTGCAGTGCAATTTCTCGCCGTTCGGGTTTGTTCTTCGCTGTTTGGAGCTTTTCAACGCTATCCGGGCTTGCCGGAGGTGGGAGGAGGTTGCCGGGGTCGTCAGGGTGTCTCGGTGGGCTCCGTCGGAGGTGGGAGGAGCTTTTCTCCGTTCCCAAGAGCCTAGAACTAAGATGAATTAGAGCTAGAACTAGCTAGAACTAACATAGTGCAGGCTAGAACTAGCATGGTACGGGCTAGAACTAAGAAGGTGCGGGTTAGAACTAACTTGTTAGAACTAACTTGAGGGCCCAAGAGCGTAGAACTAAGATGAATTAGAGCTAGAACTAGCTAGAACTAACATAGTGCGGGCTAGAACTAGCATGGAGAATCTGTTAAACCCTAAGGCCGCTAGGAAAGAACCCTAGAGGGGGGGTTTCTAATCCGATTTTATGCTAATAAAACTAATTAACAAATATATCCTAGCAAGTATGATATGCTACAAGATATGTGCAAGGATATACAATATAAACAAGGGTAAACAAAATGATCATGCAACAATGGCGATATAATAATATGCAATAATAAATACGTCAATGCCAAACCCAAACACAAGGAAATGATCACGTAGTTCGGACCTTCCGTCCTATGTCTCCGCTCCCCTCTCCCGGGGAGAATCCACTACACAACCCGGTTTGGAAGCCGGAACTTCTCTACACACTCGGTTTTCTAGCTAACCGAAAACTCTACACACTCGGTTATCAAGTTAACCAACAACTCTCACAAATCCTCACAATGTACATACACAAGCTACAACCTCAAGTGTTGGTCCTCACGTATCGACTCCCTCAAGTGCTCGGAATTATCACCTCTCACTAGGCCACCCACTCCTCTTGGTATCGACTCCGTCCTCACCACACACTCCTCTCGGTGTACAAGTGTATTACAAAGTGAACTTCACAAATTAGGCACAACAAATGATTGTTCTCTAAACAATGTGAGAACTCAATTAGGCTCAACTCAATGTTACTATCTCTCACAACCCCAAATATATTATGAATACAAATACAATAAGCTCAAAACTCAATGTTACTATCTCTCACAACCCCAAATATATTATGAATACAAATACAATAAGCTCAAGTGGGTGCGGGTAACAATGAGATTAATCAAATCTAAACTCAATATAAAACTAGCTTTAATATGATGATAATCAAACAAATAAATATAAAGCTAGAAAAGAGTTTAGAAAACTTCTCAATAGATGACAAGAGATTGAGGGAGAATAGTTGATTGCTCAAACTCCAATAGATAATCTCCTCAAGCTCTTGTGGAATTAAATTCACAAACTCAAACCCTCAATTTCTTAAAAGCTTTTTAAACAAACACTAAACAAAACTTAAACCCTTGTTAAAACTTTGTTAAAACATTCTCTTGGATCATTAAAATAGTTAATGTAAAGGGGTATATATAGGCTTGAAGAAACCAGCCCAAGAATCCAACAAAATCCCATAAAAACATTAAAATAAACAAATCTGAAAACTAGTTGTTACTGTGCAACGGCTCTCTGATAAGTCGACTTATGAGTCGACTCATGAGTCGACTTATGAGTCGACTAATGAGTCGGCTTATATGAGTTGACTCGGCAGAAGAAAAATCATAACTGCGCTGCACTTCATGAGTCGACTTATGAGTCAACTCATGAGTCGACTAATGAGTCCACTGAACATGCACAGACTTGAAGTGCACAGAAAAACTCAACTTTAAACTAGTTCAAATGAGAAATATCATCATTTTGCAAAATAGACCAAAACATAAAAATGTGAACACATGAGTTTTGACATTTTTAGCTTAACCATGTTTTGAAACATTATAAAATGATTTTATAGACTTAGTAAAAGATGTATATGATTATTGTAAAGTCCATATACTAAGAAATCAATATTATCACAAAATTGCATATTCTATGCAA